GATTTCTTATTTTGAGCATTCCATGCATGTGCTCAAGTTCAAGATATTACTGGTGCGTACTGTATTTAAAGACGTGTATGAAGGGTGCATGTTTTCATCCCCCAAGAAAAGTGATTAGTGTTAGCATTCCTTGAACGATCACAACGTCTATGTGATCACGAAATCACATTTCTACGTTGCTATATCTCTGCTAAGATTGCATTGTCTTTTGCAATCGTAGAAAAGGTGTGTGGCGAGATTGTGCTATCAGTAAACTTGAGTTTTAAAGTCGTGATCATCCAAGATGGCATACTGAATCTTTTTCTCTTCTTTTTTTTTTTTTCATCCCTTCAGCCCTGCAAGCCTATCCGGACAAAATAAAATTTAATGAAGCTTGAGCCCATAGAAAACTGCATTTTCTGCTACGCTAGTGAGTAAAAGTGCATCCCCTTCTTTTAAGAGATATCGCAGAAATGGCTGATGGCGGCGGAGACGCAGCTGTCGTGCTGACGACTTGCTGTGCTTCATACCGCTGTATGGGACCAGTCCCATGCTGTCGCTGCAGCGCGACATATCTAATTAAATTTCGCTCAGCTGCAATGTGTCCATGGCTATCGCGGTGATGAGAAGCGCCAATTCAGAAAATCTGTTGGTGGAATCGGCACTATCGGCGTAGCAAAACCCTGTGGTAAAACCTACCATAACGCCGCCAGCTTGCCTGGTGCCACAACACGTCACGATCGTCAAAATCACGCCCAGCTTGTTTTGCCGCGAGATGTAGAAGAAAAACTCAATATTTCAATCATTTTTTATGTAGAAGTTAAAGGGAAGCTACGGAGCTTCTTGAAAAAAATGAGTTAAAAGTGAATTCTAGTGTATTTTTACCTCGTGAACCCGAATACCAAAACCATTTGCCGGGCAAGTACTTTAAAACGCGAGAAAAACGCGAAAGATGGTCGCTGTTCGTGACGTCATCGACGGATCTTTTGGCTTGCCAAGGCTAGGGAGGCGGGGCTTCAGCCCTATTTTCAAATTGCTCTTATGGCTCTCCGGCGCGTCGCATTGAAATATAATTGTGACATCTGTTATTCTAAAGGCCAAATGAACGCAATTCAAGCGTTTTTTCTCAAATGTAGAAGTGCCCCATCTTCCCTTTAATAAACCAAAACGTAAACTGATGTCTGTTTGGCGTTCAGTGAACATCGAAAGTTTAATGCAAAAGTTATTTGGCAAAAGTAAAAAAGTTCATTTTACGGTCCCTTAAAATAGATCTTCGAGAGTATATGGTAGTGATGGGCTGAACCTCAACTTAGCATTCCGCGAAACAAAATTTTTGATCAGCTTTTTTAAAGATTCGGCAAAAATACATCACTTGTCAGTTGCGCAATGCAGGCACGTAGCCGGGGGGGAGCCATGGGGCCTGCTGCCCCCCCCACTTCCCCCCGAAATCTTTCATTTTGCTGGGACCTCATCTTCCCCTCATAATGCATTTTGTCATAAGCCCCCCCCCCCCCCCCCCCCCCCCCCTGAAACAAAATCCTGGCTATGTGCCTGGCGCAATGGATTGTGTCAATTCCTGGTCAATCTTGTCCTTGAGGCACAAAATATGGCAGAGAACCACACTCACAAAGGCTGACAAACACGCAGTTACTATGTCGCCTACTCTGCACCTCGTTGGTAGTACTAACGGTACTACACTGTATGGTGGTATCATGGTGACCGCCCGCATACGTTTGCCGAAGTTTTGCTGAATCCTTGCCAAAGGTGCTGAATCCAAAGTTTGTCAGATTCGGTCCATCACTACCGGGTCATTCAAGGAGACGGCAGGGACTTCAAATCGACCGGAAAATTCGGTTTCTTAACCTATCGCACTACGACTTTGTGCAGCGTTGCCCACAGATGGTGCATTTTTTTTGTAAAATTTGCAAAGAGCGAATTTACCCGAGGAAACGCGCGCCGCTTTTGAGTCGAAAAGATTGTCTGCTAAAGACGGTGGCTCTCGGCGCCGTATGCTCGTTCGTTGCGCCATCTCTTGTCTCCCGTGCGAAACGGCGCCGTGTTGTTTGAAGACCGGTGGTGTCGCTTGCGTTTCCATAGGAGCTAAGCCTTTTTCTTTCTTTACTTTTTCCTCAGGTAAGATCGCTCTTTGCAAATTTTCCAAAAAAAAAAAATGCACCATCTGTGGGGCAACGCTGCACAAAGTCGTAGCGCGATAGGTTAGGGAACCGAATTTTCCGGTCGATTTAAAGAGCCTGCCGTCTCCTTGAATCACCCCGTAGTATATGGTCATCTTTTCCTCTCCCTCTTCACACTAATCCAAAGCAGGTTTCTTTGTTCGAACTTGGGTGCAAAAGATATTTCACAATGGGCAGAAAAGCAAAGTTTGGGGAGTTGTACATCTATAACAGGGGTGGCCAGGCTGACCCGGCCTAAGAGTCGCAAACAAAACGACGGAACTTCCAAGAGCCGCAAGGGGGAAGGGAGGGGGGGGGGGGCGTAAACTTTTGTTCCGAGCAATAAACGAAACTCGAACTACTTTCAATATATCTAAGTCAAAAGCAGTCCAACTGTACGTAAGGTAGCAGTAGCACGAGACTGCCGAACCACAACCCATCTTTCAATTTAAAACATTTTATCTTTTTGGGGAAGTGCTCCTGTGAATGGAAGGGAAGCGGGGGAGTGTGTGTGTGCTGTGTGCGGGAGGGGGGGAAGGGCGGGGGGTTAGGGGAGGGAGCCGCGAGCCGCACTTCAACACGCGAAGAGCCGCAGCTTGGCCGCCCCTGATCTATAACATAAACATTTTTAAATGCACTGCAAAAATTTTCTACTGCACGTGTTGCAACAGGCCTTGGTCAAAACCACTCCTTTCCCTGCACTTTACCCTTCTTGGTTCCCTAGCAAGGTTGAGCCGTTAATGACAAGCGACATTGCCCGGAACCGTGTTGACGTCGCCACACCTAGGCACGAAGCTGAGCCGGACCCCTCTTTCTGGCTGCAATTAAGTTGGCCTGAAATGGGGTCAGTCGACACAGGAACCGGGGGATTACCGGGTGAGGATTCCGAGTGACGGCGCGCCAGCTGCGGGACTTCCGTGAGGGTGTGTTCGGTTTGGACTATCCTCAGACGCTACTTGCTGACAATCCGGCCAAACCCTTTCTTGTGCCACCAAGCCGCCTAATGGAGGGATCATCACTATCTCAGTCATCATCTTACGGGCTGACAGTGGACCCTTTGTTGTCGCCTCCTCAGTGCGGTTTTCAAGGGAAAGAGTACCTCGGCGCCGGAATGTGAAGCCCGGCCATCACTGCAGTGTGTGCGTCTGTGTGCGTGCTCGGGGGATGAGTGGGGGCGGGGCCTGGACATGACGTTTGTTGGCTGCTCGGCCACAATTGGCTGCCAAATCCTGGAGCATTGAACAGCGACCCGATAAAAAAAGCATACGAGAGGTCGCATGCGTGCTCTCGGACGATGTAGATATTTTGTATATATGTATTAAACAGTTTGTCGCGAGAGACCCTCCCTTCTCCCGATGTTCCTGCTGGGAATCGTCCTGTGGTTCCGGTCATGGCCTGGCCCTGCCTGAGGCTGCCTGGGGAACTCCTCGGTCCCAACACACGATACTTAGGAAAAGCCACATCTGCCAAACAGGTTTTAGTAAAGGGATCAGAAGAGGTACTGCAGCTTTACCTTGATTTCCTGGAGCATGTTTAGAAGTTCTTGCATGTTTGTTTGCTTAGGCTGTTAGACTTGACAATGTCAAGTCGAACAGCCTAAGGAAACAGCAAAAATGTAGGTGATGTCATTTGTTGCATATGCTTTGTCGGTGTCTGTAATCGTCGTGACCCAGACATGACCGCTAAAAGTTGCACTTCTCAGGCATCGCGCACAATTAAAACTATGCTCACCATGTGTAGCGTAAAACAAATGTGGGACAAACAAACCGGGAGTAGCTAGCAAACAGTGCGCAAGAAAACAAGGCAAACGAGGGGCAAGATCGCAAGATAACGGACAGGCGAAACCGGATCAAGAACCACCAGGACTGCTACCACTGGGGCCAGGCGCTTCACAAGTATCCACTAAATGTGTCTAAATCTGCCATATAAAAATCTTCCTCATCAATTTATGCAAACATACATGTAAAAAAAAAAGTATATTTTAATATTATAAAAAAAGTTCATCGTTGCAAAAAAATAAACTGGCAAATATTGGAAAGTTGAAGGGTTTGCAAGTACCACTCAAAATTTCAGGGCTTTCAAGATCTGGAAAATGCCGTTTTCTAATTCAGGGGGTTTTAAGGTCCAGAGCGAACCCTGTGTAAGTGAAACGCGCGTAATCTGGCTTCACTTTACGATTTCATGCGCTTACGTCCTGCGACTGTACGAAATAACTACGCGATAAACCAGTCGAAGTAATCGAGGAGCAAGGTTTTCTATGGTACACGCCACGCAATATTTTCGCCTAATGGTTGAATCCGATTCGGCACTTCAAAAAAACACAACAATTCACCGCTTTCAAAACAGAAAAAGAAGACAGAAAACAACCTATAGTTATAAACAAAAACAAAAAAACTATCGGAAAAGAACCACACTTTTAAAAAGGCACCCCTTGCCCGCCAACACAAAGACAAGGCTTAAATAAAGCAGGTGCAACGCTTGCTTCATGCTTCTAACGAAACTTGTCCGTGCGTGTAAACCACACAGTATACTGACGTTTTAAAATAGCTTACGAGACACTCTTGCCCCAGATCGGAAAGTTTCGTTGTCCGGCACGCCTGAAGTTTGAGCCAGTGTTGGCGCGACAATGAACCGAAACTATAAAATCTGAACTCGTCCGCACAAGAGCTTTTGCTACCCGCGCAGTTAAACTGCCTTTAGTTTTTCTTTCTTTCGAGGGCTCGCTAGATTGATTCGGTACTCTATTAACGGAAGCGAATCCACTTTCAGTGTTAGCGCGGTGCCAGACCATGCTACCTGTTATGACACTTGCCGACAAACCCGCGGGAGGCATGGAGTTCAACTTACTCGGGGATGGCCCGCGTTTCGTGACAACCAATGCGTTTGAGCCACCTTAAAGGTAAATTTTACGCTTAAAACGCTTCGCACGAAAGGTTTAGGATGATTGGAAAATATCACGGTGAGAAACTTGGACTTTTGGAACACTGGTGAAAAAAAGCGCACGACGACAGTTCGCTTGATGGTGATGACGATCGTTTTTCCTTGGTTTTTCCGTGCAAACTCGTGCAAGGTGCCGTGTGCCGTGGACGAGTAATATCAGACTTGATGCATTGAAGTTGGGGGGCAACTTGCGTCACGTAGTGAGCATTTTTCATTTTTACTTCAACTGCTGGTACAGTGAACTGAGCCGGAGATAGCGCGTTCACGAAGAGAAGAGCATGCCCACTCGTCCCGAAGGGTGTTACTCGAAAAAAAACATTCTTAAAAGTGTCCAGTTCACTAAAAAAAATTTAATTTGTATTTTTATTATAAATAATTTTCAACAGTTTGAACTAACTCCGAGTTTTATCAAACGCTTTTAAAGATGACTACCAAAAATAAAAATTAAAAAAAAATGCTGTGATGTTTTTTTGTTGTTTAAACTAGCGGAAAATGAAATTACGTTCGAAGCGTTCGAAGGCCCCCTGGGGTATTCACACGAGGGAGAAATCCCGGGGATTTCTCCCCGGCACGCGCGTATCACGAGATGAAAACGCGAGGCTTTTGCACATTGCGAAGCCTGACGTTTTCGTCCTGGGATGCGCGTGCCGGGGAGAAATCCCCGGGATTTCTCCCTCGTGTGAATACCCCTTATCAGGGGGGGGAAGGAGGGAAAGGGAACGCGGCGCAAAGCGGAGGCTGCCATATTAAAACCGCTTACGTTGCCAGCATAGGTTTCGCAGTGGAGAAGTCGAAGTTTTACTTTCTTTTTCGTTTTGGAAAGAATGTATTGTTGCGTTATATAAGTCCTCCTGCATACAAACAACGAAGTTTAATTATATTTGTCTTGTTTACTCGGCTTGAAACCCTAAAAACAGGTTTTGGCAACTTATTGCTTCCATCATTTTGGAGTACGCAAGGCAGTTATCTCGCTGTTCTGGTTTCGGTTACGAAAGCAAGGCAAAACGCTCGTAGTTCCCGCCCTCAGTACACTTGGACACCTTCCACACTTTGACACCGGATAACTAGATTGTGGCGACGCACAATCACCAGCATTTTGGCGCTATAAAACCTCGTCGTCGTCTGCTTCAGGGAAGCACGGCCGCCCGCTACACAGTCACGCGGGACAGAGGAACGTCCGTCGACCGACGCCGCCGAGGCAATAAAACCGCCGTTCCTTTTCTATGTTGGGATTCGCTCGTCACCACGACGATGCATCCCACAAGATGAACAAGGATTTAGATTTGCTTCAAAGGTCACTTTCGCCGCTTCCTCACCGTCGAGCAGCCGGATCAGCTGACGGCAAGCCGCGGATGAAAGGCTTCAGCATCAACAGCCTAGAGCCACTACAACAGCCCAAGTGCACTCACGATGCGGGCGACGCGGGCTTCTGTCAATCCAGGGGCAGACCCAAGGGGGAGGCGGGAGGCGACGGGGGCGGCCGCCTACCCTCCAATCGACCCCCCGCCCCCTTCTTGGAGGGCGATTTGACATGGGTGGATTCCCCGAAATAAAACCAACACCCGTCCTGCCAGGTGGTAGGAAGCTCGGTACTCAAGGACGAGGGTTCGAAATAGGGTAGGCCGCACCCTTGCAGGCGCACACACTTGGAGAACCACTCCGTCGCTTAGACTAAAGTCCGCGGCGGCGGTTTCAAAGCACGGCAGAAGTTAGAACCGAAAGTCGGCGCAGTGTGGTTCTGCGGCGGTTAAAACAAAAGGCGCAACCGGAGTCCTGTTTATCTTGCTTTAGAGTTTAGATTTTCCCTCCACTCCACCCCCCCCCCCCCCCCCCCCCCAAAAGAAAAAAAAAAACGGAGTTCTGGATCCGCCCCTGGGTCAACCGGTAGCCCAGCACAAACCGCGTGAACGTTCCAGCTCTTCGTCATGACACGCTGTTGCAGAAAGCAGGGTAAAATACAACTCCACGTACCACCGAATCAAATGCACTATTATCGTAAATATTGGCTTGTGATTGCGCCTTTGTAGATCATCTTATTCGTTTTGCTGGAGAGACGCAACCGACGGGCATAACAAAATCGTTTGCGTATTCCGCATACCTCGCAAAAGCACTTACCCAGTAACCTTGCGAAAAGCGCGAAACACAGAGTCCGCACCGCCCTGACTTACCAGTCTTTTATTTGCTTTAGAGCAGTTTGTACCTGCTAGTAGGTATGTCTAGTGAAACTGCAACTTGAAACTAGGGACAATGCCAGAGAGAAAAGTGACGAAGTTGAAAAAGCATGCTCGCTCGCTCTCTCCAATTTCCGAACTCTCAAGTGATTGTACCATAATAAATTCACCAACACCTTTTTCCAAAATAAAGAAAAAACGCAATGTTCACTACGTAAAAAATGGTCTCAGTTCATGCATCCGTAGGCAGGTAGGAAACGTTGCCCTAATTTATTCACACCGCATGACGAGCGCAACAAATTCGCACGAGATTTACAAGAAAATATCAGTGGTGACTTATGTTTCTCTGAAATTCTGTATGACCGGTCGTTTGCAGGACCGAATCATCTACTCGGGCGGTGTGCGTCGCTGTGCAAACGCCAACAACACGAATCATAACAACGGCAGGTCTAGGTCAAGAATCCGTAGTCCATTGTTCAATTAAAACGACGAAATTATGTTGAAAACGCCCGCAGCTTTTTACTCACGGTATGCGTCGAGAATCTTCCACATTTTGAAACGGAACGAAGGAAGATTTACTTTTAAAAGCGCTCGCTGCGTCCTCCCGGACCAGTTGGACCGGATCAGCTGACGACGACGACGGAACTGAACCCGTTGAATTTTAACGCCACAATAACCAATTTGCGCTTCGTGTTAGTATGGGATTCTACCTCCAAGCACCGCACGACACACCACGAACGTTTCAACTCTTTGTCGCATCGCCGTGTTGCACCAAACCTATCTCTATGCACCAAACAGAACAAGATCGCCGAAGTCAACGGAGCGCTGTCGTGAACCTTGGCTTGTGGTTGCGCACTCGTGGACCCTGTGACTCCCTTCGCTTTCTAAGCACGCACGACGATTACGAATGATACTTTCCGTCTTCCGGGACCATCACAGGGGCACTTCTCCGGTCACGTCTTCGCTACATGTGCTGGCAAACCGCGTCAAACGTGGTCAAACCGAAGCGCCGAAGCAATACCGGCGCCATGTTGAAACTTGAACGTGCGTTGTTGCTAGATTTTCTCCGACCAAACAAAAACAACGAAAGCAAACCGGCTCTAGCTTCCAGCGTACATCGGCGTTGCGCCGTGGCCAGATTTTCTCTGTCAGCTCTAACTTAAAGACGACCTACAGATGCAGCAACACTGGTCTCAAGTTTTAACATGGCGGCCCCCACAGAGCGCCGTAAATTCTGAGGAGGGTGCATTGGAAGCGGCGGCACCTTCCCCCCCCTGCCCCTTATAGCCCTAGAGCACTATATAGCTCCTACGGAGCAGAGTAGCGCAATCCTTTGAACCCCGTGTTTTGCCGACAACATGGCCGACAGAGCGGCTCGGCGCGAGTCACGTGGTACTCAGGGTTCCAGGAGGCGGCCCGCCCTATGGGAGAATACATGGAGATCGACATAACACGGCTGATTAAAAAATGAACGGCGAGTTCACATTTTTCAAAACTAGCCTGTCGTGAAGTTAGTAAAGCGCTAAACACTTTCTCTAAGTTTTAATAATATCGGATGCGTGTGCAAATTTTGAAAAGGCAATTTCCAAGGCAATGGCGTTTGAAGCAGACGATTTTTGCTCGCTGCGGAGATGGGCTTTTCGGGTTGGCCGGAGCGGGTCACGTGAACGGTGTGACGTCGCCGTGTCGTCTGCTGCATGATGCCGCTCAGGCAATTTTTAAAAAAAAAGTTACGTCCTTGTATGGCACAAAACTTATCGCATATTATTCTAAAATGTTTCATTATTATGTCAAAAATGATTTCCATTCCGCACATCCCCACAAAACTGATGAAACAACGATTTTCTCACGTTCTCCATGCATTTTTGACCGCAGTTGGAACCTCCGGGTGTTCGCCGCTAGTCGCCGAGAGACGGCGTTTTAGATTGCGCTACTCTGCTCCGAAGGAGCTATATAGTGCTCTATACACCAACTCATCTCTGTGACGTCACGGCGCGGTGGTGGCGCGTCGGTCGCACTTCCGGTCTGGGGCTGTGGGCAGAAGTCCCCATGCCAGACGTGTATTCCTGCGTTGTTTTGAAAGGAACCAGACAAAAACCTGCCTTCTCGTCAAAACGCCGCGACTGGGGCCGTACCAAAAGTGTCGAGAAAGGTTTGAAGGTCAGTTTTCATGTGCTCGATTCGTCCGAGAATCTGGATATGTGCCGTAAAATGGAAAAAGCAGACGCCTTCGGACAACGATTGCTTGGGCGGGAAGCACTTTGGGTTGAATTCACGGATACTTGTGGTCATCAGATTTATTTGTTTTGTTGCAACATGAACGCCAGAGAACCATCAAGTTGTGCGGACCACCTGCGGACTACGTTCAGTGCGTCTTCCAGTTCAAACGGTCGCCTGATCGTTCGAGCTGTCGTCTGCTCTCTCAAACGTTTCTGCTTGTCGTCTGCTCTCTTAGACGACGCCGGCCCGTATATGTTGGCCCGGTACTTGCGATAAGAAGTAAGTGCAGGCCTCAAAAGACTTACGTTTGAAGGTTGGTAAGCAGGCTCGATGTAAACAGTAAATAAAAGATGTTGATCATTGTTACCAGTGACTGTCACTGACTTGCTATGCCTAAATGACTTGGTCCGATTCTGCTTGCGATTTTCAGTATTGACGTCGATCATCTCAGCTACGGTTCACGCTTTTGCAGCCCGAGCGGCGTCGCGACTGAAAATTGCGAGCGAAATCTCATCATGCGAATCAGGTTTTAGCGTTCATACTGCGGCGTCCACGCGGAATGAATCGCCACATGTCACATTATTCGCGCGAAGTTTCGCGGTGTAACGAGCCTCGGTAATTTCGCTGATGCCGCTCAAGTAGTCGGACATCGCCAGGAAGACGTAAAATCAACAATTCGAACGCGAAAAAGAGCAGGGGGACTCACACCGACGCCGATAACATCGCGTTTCA